CTATTTCGTGTAAGGTGATGAAGGACTGGTAGAAGAAGAATTTTCCCACAATGATATCAGTTGAGCTGACCTTTCCATTCAATTTAACATATTTTTCGAATTAAGTATTCTTTTCGTGATTACCAGTAAATCAGTAGTATGAGATGTATTCACCCTATTTCGTCTAAGCTGACGAAGGACTGGTAGTCGAATTTTCCCACAATGATATGAGTTTAGCTGACGTTTCCATTCAATTTCACATATCCTTGCTTTTCCCAAAAGTTGTTCTCATCCAGCCAGAAGTGGACTGCAGTTTCGACCTCGCATTGGTCTTATCAACAGCCTCAGATGACGAACATTGTCAGAGCTGGAACTGATTCTTACAAAAGTCTCACCTTAACAGTAAGTCAAGAAGACTGGTCGGCTTTGTCCTACATGAAATAGGCATACTTATAATAGAAAAAAATATGTAAATATATATTGATATATAATAGTTTTGTTAGTTCCCTTATTCTCTAGTGTATGTGTGTGTGTGTGTGTGCGCTAAGCAATTATAAAAACGCCAGACTTCAGCCCCAGGTCATCAAGGCAAAATCATGACCGGGATTGCTCTATTCCGTAAGTAACTCTGGTTGAAATGATGAGGTTTAAGCCTACAAGCGTGACAGTCAGGTTGCAAAACCACCCGTCATAACCCGCTAATCTACCATTTTTAGGGTTTAATGACCCAAGGAAAAGCATGACGTGAATTCCCCAATCTCACACATCTGTTTTTGCTGATGAGCTTAGCATGCTAGTTTACGAATGTGAATTCAGCTAGATCAAAGAAGTATTTTTAATTTCAGGAAATAAATCAGGATTGAAGAGAAGACGTCTATAGTGAGCCTATTTAAAACAGGTAGAACCACATCATTTGGGAATTCTCACATAAGAGACAAGGGCATAGATAAGTCATAGACTTTGCATTATGGATACACGCAAGACAGATGCGACGCAAAATAGAGATAGTTAGCTAAAAGTAGACTTGGTCCGTGACGGTTGCAAGGAAATCTAAATTTTTCGAATTAAGTATTGTTTTCGTGACTATCAGTAAATCAGTAGTATGAGATTTATTCACCCTATTTCGTGTAAGGTGATGAAGGACTGGTAGAAGAAGAATTTTCACACAATCATATGAGTTGAGCTGACGTTTTCCATTCAATTTCACATAGCCTTGCTTTCCCAAAAGTTGTTCTCATCCGGGGTGGACTGCAGTTTCG